TTTCGGATTCAGATCCTATAGTATCTCCAAAAAATATAACCTCAGATCTTGATATTCCAATTGCCATAAGAAAAGGAATCCGAACATGCACTAAATATCCTATTGCCAAATATATTTCCTAACAAAAACTCTTCAATAATCATAGAGCATTTACTTCAAATATTTCTCAACTTCTTGTCACAAGAAAGGAAACACTAGATGATCCGGATTGGAAATTGGTTGAGGAAATGAACGCTCTTAGGAAGGTATATTTGTCAATCAACGCAAGTATGTACTGGACTTGCTTGTAGAAACAGGTATGCTTGGCTGTAAAACAGCTGAAACACCAATGGAACCCAACATAAAATTACAACCTGCCAAGACCGAAAGTATAGTGAGCAAAGAACAATATTAACAACTTGTTGGAAGGTTGATTTATCTATCTCATACACGACCGGATATCGCATTTGCGGTAAGTATGGTTAGTGAATTCATGCATTCAGCTGGACCAGAGCATTTTGAAGCAGTTTACAGAGTTCTGAGATATTTGAAGGGAACTCCTGGAAAAGACCTACTTTTTAAAAAACGTGGACATCTACAAATTGAAGTCTACACTGATGCAGACTGGGCTGGAAGTATAACAGATAGGAGATCAACATCTGAACACTGTTCCTTTGTTGGAGGAAACCTTGTTACTTGGCGAAGTAAAAAACAAAATGTGGTTGCTAGAAGCAGTGTAGAGGCAGAATTTAGAGCAGTGGCTCATGGTATTTGTGAAGTTATGTGGATTAAAAGATTGTTAGAAGAGTTGAAGGCTTCAGATTCGCAGCCCATAAAGTTATATTGCGATAACAAGGCAGCAATTTCAATCGCCTACAATCTGGTTCTTCACTACCGAACAAAGCATGTAGAAGTGGATAAACACTTTATCAAGGAAAAACTTGACAGTGGGCTGAGCTGTATGCCATACCTCCCAACTGAGAAGCAGATTGCTGATGTATTTACTAAGGGGCTGCACAAGAAGCAATTTGACGTTTTAATGGGCAAGCTGACTATGGAAGATATCTTCAAGCAAGCATGAGGGGGAGTGTTGAAAATTCAGAATGATATTTGGCAGTAATTACCAAGATTGAATAGCTGTAAATTAGGCAATGATTTCAAGATTGAATAGCTGTAAATTAACCATAAATTAGGCAATAATTAGTCAATGATTATAAATTAGGAATGTAGCTTTGTTAGGTAAACAAATTATTTTTTTCCTAGTTTTGATCTCTTGTAATTCCTATAATTAGGAATCTGTGAAAATCAGAATTTATTCAATATATGAGAAAATCAGAAACTATTCTGTGTTTACAGAGTATCTGAAGCCCTTTACAGTTTTTGTTCGTTAACCCTGTATGCTAACTTCCTGCAATTTTTTATTAACCTGACTTCCCAATTCCCCCTTCTCTATCTCTATTTATTGATGTTGTAGGTACTGTGTCCGGTTATGCTGGATCAGTTTTATTGGGCGGAGAGGATGTTTTGGCTTGGAGTTGCCCCGGAACCACTTAAAAGAAATCACTTGCTTCCTGATAAAGATGATGATATAGGCATCAGGGAAGCTACAAATATGCTAGCAAGGGCCATAGATTATGCATTATCTCCTGAAGTCAAAGCACGGGCATCAGAGATTGCTGAAAGATTATCTCTTGAGGTTATGCTTATGTTTGGAAATTATAAGTGCATTTGTTATGCCATGCAGTAGAGGCTTATACATTGACTCAGGCATCATCGTCATCATGGTTCTGTTGCTTTGATTTTTACTATCTCTGGAGTCTGGATCTGTTTGTTTGTTTCTCTGTCTGTCTGTTCGTTTGTTTCTTCTTAAAAATTGATATGTTAGTTCATCGATCAGTCGAGCATGTCAGCAGCTGTTTCAGAATTTGTGCCTTTTAAGTGAAGCTATTGGGCTTAGATCTTGTTTAGTACTTTTTACTGTACTAGATTATGCAAGTGTCGCGTACCCCTGCAGATACAATTTTGTGACTTACTCAGCTCCTTGTCTTCTGAAAAGCATTGCGGGGTACATCAGTTACTTCCAGTGAATTGGTGGCATTTTTAGTTTGATCTATCAACGGACTATCTCTGTGATGAATCATATATGGGTAATTATGAGGACACATCCAACTGGCAGGCAATGTGCCTCTGTTTCAAGGGCCATTTATAGTGATGAAGTAATTGGAGTTCAGGCTAATAGTAGATTCTCAGAAGGCTCGGGTAAGAGGATTTGGAGTTATATTTATATGAGTTAGAATGGATGAGTTTCCAAATTTCCACATCATTACTAGTCCTCCAAAGTTGAGAGAGAAAAGATGTGTGTTTTCATTTCTTTGGTCGAGCTTTCAATTATGAAGATTTGAATGAAATAAAACAATTATACAAACGATGGCGATAATTTGTTCTTTATGTTCAGGAGTAATGTAGTTCCACTTAGGAAAATAATGAAGAAGAAATGGAGAGAACAGAGAAAACAAAATAAGGGGGAAGCTTTGTGGCTATGGGTCTGATGATGCAAGGCTGCTATTCTCTGGCTATGAAACTGAGTGAGAAGTTGGACACAAAATGCTTTTACATATCCATTGATAGAATGTGGTAGCTTGTTGGATTTTAGAGGGGTACACATACATCTACGGGTATTATTCTACACTAGGGGGAGGGCTAAGGGATGCTGTTACATGGCTTGAGATTCAACCCTGCTTCCTGTGGGATTGGCTCCCAATCATTGAGCCATCCACTTGTTCTCGCGCCTGGCTGGCTTGAAGGCATTGTCACTATGTGAGAAATTGGTTGAAAGAAAAAAGCAGAGAGCAGGAGAGAAAAGAAAAACAGATATTGATCTTATCAAAGTGCCTGTTAACATACTGGTCAAAATATTGATGCAGATATTTAGGGGTGGACATTATGGCTCTCTACTTCTACTTGTGTATAGGATTTTCCATGAACTATGACCTGGCAATTTGGTTCAACTTTTTAAGGACCTTCAGCCCTTTCTGAATGAACATTCAGCTTTACTGGCGTTTTGGCCAGTTGTTTCCTGTTAGAAAATTGTGATTTTTTTTTTTTTTTTTTTTTTTTCTAGACATATCAATGTTGTGGAAAGTGGAAAATTCCTTGTGTGTAGTATCTGTTCTTTTGTAAACATGAATCGGGAATGCCGAGAAACTGACATATTGAGTTCATGGCCACTTGTTCAGGATGGAATGTTGGAGGCGGTGAAGATCCTGAAGGAAGTGATTACCTGTTCTAAGCATTAACAAGAGTCAGATTTTGAATTATCCCATTTTTTTGTTTCTGGTTGTGGCGATGAGACAATTGAGTGTAAGTTTATTTTATTCCCTGCTCTATCTTTTTGGTTAGCGTTTAAATGACTCTACCTCAATTGAAACTATTTATTAATTGTCCTTATTAACCCTTGAGGGAGGAACAGAGTAACAAAATATAGCATATGCTTTTGTTGAACGTGTTTTTGATGACAAAGCCTCACCTCATAGACTCCTGTGCATGTGCAAATTATATTCTCTCTCTCTCTCTCTCTCTCTCACACACACACACACACACAGTTTATTTTGTTTTTGGGTTATTTATGATTTATTTATTTTTTTACAATTACTATTACAACTGCTAGATAGAAGATTCGAATCGGTTACAACATTCAAGTATGAACGGAGTTTTAATTTGGTCCCTAAAATACCAATTAGAACAATTAAGTCATTAAAATTTTAATGGAGTTCAAATTCAATCTGTCTATCCAGAATTGTTACTTGATTTAACTGAATGTAGTCACGAGACTAATAGGTGCCTAATTCGAAGGGTATGTTTATCGTCACAAAAAAAAAAACCACATCCAGAGGTTGTTAACCATTAACTAGTTTCTTGGATGCCCTCCATGATCTTTTATGGTTCCCTTTATTTTTTATTTAGACTATTTAAGATACAAGGTAAAGGTGATTAACCACTAGGTGGGATCATATTTTTTTGCTACCGATTGATCATAGGGTTCAATAATTACTGGATATGGATGTAACATCTGTATTAAAACTTAACTACAAGTTTAAGAAACTTGATTATTCCAATTAGAACATTAGGGACCAAATTAAAACTTACCTATACATTAGACGTGTAAGTTTTAAATTGTCCGTTGTTTTTCAACCATCTATCTATCTCTAGAATATAGAATGTAGTTAAGTATAAACCGGTGGTCAGATCAGTGGCACACTAACCTGTCTTTCTGGGATTTAGAATGAGTTGTTTGTATAATGATTGGGGGAATAGGGGTGATAGGATTAAGTATTTTTAGTCTGCTGCTACAGAGGAGGATATCACTGGTTCATTGGTTAAAATTTAGTCCAAAAATCTTGAGGTTGTTGGTTTAAATCTGTGAGCAATCATTTAGTGTGAGTTATGTCAAAGATTAGTTTTGTATCCACTCTATCCCATCTAGACTCTCATTAACAGGGACTAAATTGGGAGTTATTTGGCCAAGTACAAAGGATATTGGTAAGGGTATGTACTATAGGAAGAAGACTTAGGGAATTATTGCCACGGGGACTTAAATTAAACCCGACAAGAGACTATGCACATAGTTTGTCATTCCTCAAGGAGTCCAAAGTTTGCCATAGGCACGGTTCTATGCTGTAAAAACATGAAAAACTCAAAAAAAATTAAAAGCAAAAAATTGAAACTGAAGATTTGTAATAGGGATGTTTCTTGTATTTTAATATGTCCTCACCTGTCTTTCTGAGCATGGGAATTTCTCTCAAGAACAATCTATCCCAGTTGAAGTTTTCTCCTCTGCCCACTAGGAGTGGTAGAGGACCAACTTTTAATGTGCCTTTGCAGAAACATTTAAGTCGTAGGGGCTCAGAGAACAGACCCTGAAAGTCATAGTCCATGATCAAATTGTCCAAAAACTAGTGGGTTGTTAGCTGATATTTTAATGACCCTATTGAATGCTTGAAGGCTCCGGTGTCTCTTTTTGTGATAAAACCTGGCAGACCCATTAATTTCCTTCCCACAGGACCCAGACTTGATCTCTTTACTTTCAAGCTCTAGGGACCCACTTTTTTTACCAGCTAGAATATGAGGCCAACTCTATTTGACTCTTTCAGTCTTTGCTTTAGCGGAAGTAATTTTGTACATTGTGAAGCTTTTTTGGACTTTAAGAGATTTCAGAAGATCTGGTCCACGACCACATTTTCTGTAAGACTGTAACTAACTAGTGGAGGGTTAGCTGAAATTTTGATGATCATTTTGAATGCTTGAAGACTTCTGAGTGTCACTTGTGATAACATCTGCCAAACCCATTAATTCCCCCTCCCAGAGAACCCATTACTTTCAAAGCTCTAGAGACCCACTTTTTTTGACCATCCAGAATCTCATGTCCATTTCACTCCATCATACCTTCAAACAGGTGCGTCCACCTCATTTGTTTTAGTCCCACCTCCCAACAGGATTACTGCTATAAATGGGCCATCTTTCTAAAGCAGATTGAGTATCACCATACACACAACACCAATTTGTCTCTCTCTTCTCTGCTTTTGCTATTGTTTCATTCACAAGATGTCTCAGGGAAGAGGCAGTGCAATCCTTGGTGCAGCTATGGTGCTGTGCCTGCTGGTGCTCCACTGCGAGGTAGCTCAAGCAGCTACCTACACGGTTGGTGGTGCTGGCGGTTGGACCTTTAACACAGATTCCTGGCCCAGAGGCAAGCGCTTTAGGGCCGGTGACATTCTCGGTAAGTTTAGTGCTAGATGCATTCTTCATCCACTTTGAAAAATGGTGTTGGACTCCTCTGTTCCTGTTAAGGATGCTCTCAAGGTTTTTTTTTTTTTTTAATAGATATATGTAGATCACTCTTACAATGAAAAATCACCTTTTACTACTTTTGAATAATGCTTCTTGAGCAGGGGACAAAACACCCACATAGGGGTGAGTACTAAGGAGAAATGGTGTTTGAATTGTCAGGAAGGTATTATTATCTTAGGATAACGAACACAGGGCATACTATAAGTGGTTCGCTAACGAAGACTCAAGAATCGTCTCTTTTTTCTAGACCTTTTGATCTCAAGAACTCAAGGAATCAGTCTTTTTATGTTTGTTTGTCACTTATTTATCCCGTTTCTGCTGTATAGACAAGAGTCTTGTGCACTCACTACGATTTTGTGCCTTTTGATCGTAAGGACTCTTATAATATGCTTGTATGTTCATTGCAGTGTTCAACTACAAACCATCAAGCCACAACGTAGTAGCTGTAAACAAGGGTGGTTACGGCGCTTGCACCACCCCTCGCGGAGCCAAAGTGTATGGGACAGGAAAAGATCAGATCAAGCTTGTTAAGGGACAGAACTACTTCATCTGCAATTTTCCAGGTCACTGCCAGTCTGGAATGAAGATAGCTATCACTGCAGCTTAACTTTGTGTGTTTTCTATTAGTGTTGTAAGGCCTTGGGGCCTACTATACAAGATACAGTGACATCTATATAGGGTGTTACTACTTTATAAATAAAGGTGATCAATTCAGTGTTTCAACTCTTGTTTGTTATTATTATTTTTTCCAGCAGGGTGTAATGGTGGTCCATGGTGTAGTTGGGAGTAAGGACAACTAAGTGCACGAGTCTTGTCGGTATTTGTGATTTGTATAGGGTTAATTATGTGCATCTTATTCTTGCTCGTGAAATTACAGAGATAGGATATTTGGATTATCACAATTTGAAAATTGTTGATTTAACTCAACTTCAATCATATTTTACAAATAAATAAGTAAATTACCTTGGTGATTGGTTCGTAGGGATCTGATTATGTCAATGAAATCCACTCAAAATGACTGAAAGTGACAGAAAGTAAACAAGAAAATGAGATAGAGTCAAAGCTATAATAATAGATGTGTTCATGGTACCTTAGGCAAACTTGGAAAAATTATACTTTGACGCCCTCAATTGTAACTTTTTTTTACATTTTCCCTTAACTATCATATTTTTGAAATTGCATCTTCAATTAGGTGTTTGGTTTTACATTGCCCTAATTGTTAATGTCCATTACAAACTTGACGGAGAATTGTTTCATTTTGTCCTTTGAATTATGCAATTTTTTTCATTTTACCCTTACATTTTAGCAATTTTTGTCCAAAAATATTACAGACATTTGTATTCAGGGTAATGTGAAATAATTTAAGTAGTTGAGAGAATAATATAAAAATTTAAATAGTTTAAAAGATAACATAAAATCAAGGAAAAAAATAGGAAATGTAGAAGAAACTTAAAAGGAGTAGAAGAAACTAAAAAATTAAGTTTTATTGGGATTATATAATAAAAATTCATAACATAAGTTGACACATGACCACAATACATGCCCCGCAAACATCATTGAAAAATGGGCAAATTGTAGTTTATATCTTGAAAGGTTATCAAATTTTCAATTTATACCCTGAAAGATAAGATTTTTTAATTTGTATCTTGAATGTCACCAAAACGATGCAATGTCCACGGGTCTCAAACGTCTGTTCGATTTACCGTCTAAAAATCCAGCACACGACTTGAACGTGATTCTTGCAGGGATTGAATTGTAAAAATACATTCCTTGATCTCATGTGAGTAGCACATGGTATCCGGTACATTTGAAACCCCCTTTCTCAGTCTCAAAAAAGGAGAGAAACGAAGGTGCTTGTGTTGAGTGGAACACAATCGAAGTTGTAGACCTTGGAGATCGATCAAATGTCTTGAGTTGTAAGGGAGAATAACTGTGATATACCACTTGGACATGAGTCATCAATTTATGGTAAGAATTTGTTTGTTTCCATTTGGAATGGTTCCAGTTTTAATGGTGTGCTTCTGTTTTTTCTTTTTTTTTTTTTGTGTGTGTGATTGTTTTCAAAGTTATAATATACTATGTGCTTGTGTAAGCCTGAGTTATGTGGTTTTATGTGATTTGTGTGGGTGTGGGCCTGAGTTATTTGATTTTATGTGATTTGTTTTGTCTGTAAGAAACTATGTGATTTGTGTGGGTTGATTTTTATATTCAAATGTTGAATATTAAAATGTTTTTTTGTATTAGTTAGTATTTGTTTATGCAAAAGCTGGCACATATTATTTTACAATAAAAATTCATCATAGTGGTAAATTTGAGGGTTATGGTGACAAAGTGTACACATGTGGGAGATGGAACCACTTTGATATGTGTCATGCTGACCAAATATCTTTGATAGAGTTGAACAACATGCTCATAGAGCTAGTAAAGGGTGGAGGGTATTGGAAAATGATCAATAGGTCATGGAACTTGAGAAGTGGGCAAATAGTAACAGAGTGGTTGATCTATATGTGGAACACAGTAAGGCTTGTATATTGAACCCTAGTCAAGCTGAGTCAACTTGTGGTAATGGGGTAGCATCTAAGAGTTCTTCTGATAAGGATAAAGTTGACAGTGAAGAATGCTCATAGGGTGAGTCTTCTGGGTCTGAATATTTTTATGATAATGAATATGATACGGAGAATTCCCAGTTGTATGAGAATGCAGTTGATGATGATTCTAACTTTGTAGGAAAGGAAAAATGGTTGAAAATAACAAACAGAAAGGGGATCAGAATGTTAAGGCAATAGGAATGAACAATGACAGTGGTTTAGTAGGTGAAGATTATGACTCTGATAAGCTGCAAAGCCTTAGAGGCTCATCTGATGAGGATGAAACAGGGGGTGAGAGGGTTAAGTATCCACATTTCAATGCTAAGGCTGATATGGTTGACCCACAGTTTAAGCTAGNTTTATATTCAAATGTTGAATATTAAAATGTTTTTTTGTATTAGTTAGTATTTGTTTATGCAAAAGCTGGCACATATTATTTTACAATAAAAATTCATCATAGTGGTAAATTTGAGGGTTATGGTGACAAAGTGTACACATGTGGGAGATGGAACCACTTTGATATGTGTCATGCTGACCAAATATCTTTGATAGAGTTGAACAACATGCTCATAGAGCTAGTAAAGGGTGGAGGGTATTGGAAAATGATCAATAGGTCATGGAACTTGAGAAGTGGGCAAATAGTAACAGAGTGGTTGATCTATATGTGGAACACAGTAAGGCTTGTATATTGAACCCTAGTCAAGCTGAGTCAACCTGTGGTAATGGGGTAGCATCTAAGAGTTCTTCTGATAAGGATAAAGTTGACAGTGAAGAATGCTCATAGGGTGAGTCTTCTAGATCTGAATATTTTATGATAGNCAGTGAAGAATGCTCATAGGGTGAGTCTTCTGGGTCTGAATATTTTTATGATAATGAATATGATACGGAGAATTCCCAGTTGTATGAGAATGCAGTTGATGATGATTCTAACTTTGTAGGAAAGGAAAAATGGTTGAAAATAACAAACAGAAAGGGGATCAGAATGTTAAGGCAATAGGAATGAACAATGACAGTGGTTTAGTAGGTGAAGATTATGACTCTGATAAGCTGCAAAGCCTTAGAGGCTCATCTGATGAGGATGAAACAGGGGGTGAGAGGGTTAAGTATCCACATTTCAATGCTAAGGCTGATATGGTTGACCCACAGTTTAAGCTAGGGATATTATTTAAAAGTTTAGTTGAGTTCAGGGCAGCAGTGAGACAACATGCAATCAAATGGGGAAAACAAATACGATTTTGCAAAAAATGAGAAGTATAGGGTGAGGGCAATTTGTAAATCAGGTTGTGATTGGATGATATATGCTTCAAGATTGNCCACTTTGATATGTGTCATGCTGACCAAATATCTTTGATAGAGTTGAACAACATGCTCATAGAGCTAGTAAAGGGTGGAGGGTATTGGAAAATGATCAACAGGTCATGGAACTTGAGAAGTGGGCAAATAGTAACAGAGTGGTTGATCTATATGTGGAACACAGTAAGGCTTGTATATTGAACCCTAGTCAAGCTGAGTCAACCTGTGGTAATGGGGTAGCATCTAAGAGTTCTTCTGATAAGGATAAAGTTGACAGTGAAGAATGCTCATAGGGTGAGTCTTCTAGATCTGAATATTTTATGATAGTGAATATGATACGGAGAATTCCCAGTTGTATGAGAATGCAGTTGATGATGATTCTAACTTTGTAGGAAAGGAAAAATGGTTGAAAATAACAAATAGAAAGGGGATCAGAATGTTAAGGCAATAGGAATGAACAATGACAGTAGTTTAGTAAGAGAAGATTATGACTCTGATAAGCTGCAAAGCCTTAGTGGCTCATCTGATGAGGATAAAACAGGGGATGAGAGGGTTAAGTATCCACATTTCAATGCTAAGGCTGATATGGTTGACCCACAGTTTAAGCTAGGGATATTATTTAAAAGTTTAGTTGAGTTCAGGGCAGCAGTGAGACAACATGCAATCAAATGGGGAAAACAAATACGATTTTGCAAAAAATGAGAAGTATAGGGTGAGGGCAATTTGTAAATCAGGTTGTGATTGGATGATATATGCTTCAAGATTGGGTTTAGAGATGACCATGCAAATAAAAACTTACGTTGGTAGACATAGTTGCAACATGAATTTTAAAGTGAAGCATGTCAATACTAAGTGGGTTGCAAGTATGCCCACAGGCAGGAATTTTGCTTGCAGCAGTGGGAATTGATACCAACAACCAAATGTATCCATTTGCATTTGCTATAGTTGAGAAAGAAACAAAAAAATCCTGGGCATGGTTTCTTCAACTTATTAAACAAGATCTCCAAATAATGAATTCNCCAACAACCAAATGTATCCATTTGCATTTGCTATAGTTGAGAAAGAAACAAAAAAATTCCTGGGCATGGTTTCTTCAACTTATTAAATAAGATCTCCAAATAATGAATATNCATTTGCTATAGTTGAGAAAGAAACAAAAAAATCCTGGGCATGGTTTCTTCAACTTATTAAACAAGATCTCCAAATAATGAATTCACATGCATGGACTTTCATGTCAGAGAAACAAAAGGCAAGTATCTAGATCCTTTACTTTTCAATTCACTTGTGGCATAATGCAATTAACATTAAATGTTATATGTTCTAATTAGGCTTTTAATGTTGCAGGGATTGTTGGATGCAGTGGAAAGCCTTTTCCCAAATGCTGAACACAGGTTTTGTGTAAGGCATTTGTACAGTAACTTCAAAACAAAACATAAGGGATTAGTTCTAAAGGATCTGTTGTGGAGGGCTGCCAAATCAACAACAATTGTTGATTTCAATAATGTTATGGAGGAGTTAAAAAGGATTAATGTGGTTGCTTATAATTGGTTGTCTGATAGATCACCAAAGAATTGGTCTAGAGCATACTTTAGTACCTTCCCCCACTGTGATATGTTGTTGAACAATATGTGTGAGAGCTTTAATGAGTGTATTCTGGAGGCTAGGGAGAAGCCTATTATTACTATGCTTGAAAAAATAAGAATTTGGTTAATGGAGAGGTTACATGTATAGAGGGATTCTATATAAAAGTATAAAGGGAGTATTTGTCCTAATATTCAACAAAGATTGGAGCTCATCACAATGGAATCAACTGGGTTCATACCAACCTGAAATGAGGATGACNGAGCTTTAATGAGTGTATTCTGGAGGCTAGGGAGAAGCCTATTATTACTATGCTTGAAAAAATAAGAATTTGGTTAATGGAGAGGTAACATGTATAGAGGGATTCTATACAAAAGTATAAAGGGAGTATTTGTCCTAATATTCAACAAAGATTGGAGCTCATCACAGTGGAATCAACTGGGTTCATACCAACCTGAAATGAGGATGAANGTTCTAAAGGATCTGTTGTGGAGGGCTGCCAAATCAACAACAATTGTTGATTTCAATAATGTTATGGAAGAGTTAAAAAAGGATTAATGTGGTTGCTTATAATTGGTTGTCTGATAGATCACCAAAGAATTGGTCTAGAGCATACTTTAGTACCTTCCCCANCTATGAATGTTGACTTTTTTTATGGATGACACATTTTTTGTTGAGATTAGTTGTATTCTTTTTTGGCTGATCTCATTTTAGGAAGCATGTGTTACCATTNATGTGGTTGCTTATAATTGGTTGTCTGATAGATCACCAAAGAATTGGTCTAGAGCATACTTTAGTACCTTCCCCAACTGTGATATGTTGTTGAACAATATGTGTGAGAGCTTTAATGAGTGTATTCTGGAGGCTAGGGAGAAGCCTATTATTACTATGCTTGAAAAAATAAGAATTTGGTTAATGGAGAGGTTACATGTATAGAGGGATTCTATATAAAAGTATAAAGGGAGTATTTGTCCTAATATTCAACAAAGATTGGAGCTCATCACAATGGAATCAACTGGGTTCATACCAACCTGAAATGAGGATGAAAAATTTGAAGTAGTTGGGATGTATGGTAAACAAAGGACTGTTAATGTGAAGGTTAGGACATGCAGTTGTAGGAAATGGGATTTAACTGGAATCCCATGTAAGCATGCAGTATCTGTTCTCTGCTACCTAGGATTAAGAGCAGAAGACTATGTGGTTGAATGGTGCAAAGTGGAAACTTTTTTGAATTGTTATAACCACCTGTTGAGTCTTATTACTGGAAGGGACATGTGGCCTAGAACAGGTTACTCACCTTTAATCCCTCCTGCTCTAAGCAGGATGCCCGGAAGGCCTAAGAAAGTTAGGAGAAAAGAAAGAGATGAACCATCCAATGGTAACAAATTGAAGAGAAAATATAAGCAGAGTGTGTGTTCAAATTGTGGTCAAATTGGCCATAACAGAGGAAATGCAAGAAGGCAGTAACTGCATCACCACCACCACCTGAAACAACACCATCGCAAACAACATCAACACCACCATCTGCAGCACCACCACCTGCAACACCATGTGCAAAACCATTTGCAGCAGCATCACCTACAACAACATCACCTACAACACCAAGAGTGAAGTTACCTGTGTGTAATTTTGTTTGAAATTGATTTTATTTTTATGTTTGGTGCCAATACACTACTGCATTCCATACTTACACTTATGCATTCCATCAGGTTAGGAGGAACAAAGATACATCACTATTTGCTACACAGTCAACACCAAATGTACCACTTAGGCCAGAAACACTATCTTCAACTACACCAATTGGACCACTTGGACCACGCACAATGTGGAGGCCAATTGCACCAGCTAGACCACACACAAATTTGAGGCCATCATCTTCAACTACATCAGTTGGACCACGCACAATTTGGAGACCACTAACAAGATGGAGGCCACCAAAAACATCATCATCAGCTGAATCATTAATATGTTAGAAGCCATCTATGAATGTTGACTTTTTTTATGGATGACACATTTTTTGTTGAGATTAGTTGTATTTTTTTTTGGTTGATCTCATTTTAGGAAGCATGTGTCACCATTTTTTGCAAGCTCCGTTTCTCGATTAATGATGATGTGAAACTTGCTTATAGTATTGAATGGAATTATTGGGCATTTTCTATTATTGATGTTTCTTTCCATTTCATATTCCATTGGACTTTTGTATTCAAACAAAAGAGATTCACTCATAATCCATTACAATCCATCTTCATTACAACATAATATCATTGCAATACTTAATACAGAATTATGTCATAAAGTTTCACTACATCCATCTACTTAGACAACCATTAAATCTATCTTTATTAGCTTCACTACTCAGTGACCAGTTGGAAGCTCTCCATCAATACCATCTTCAGAGGGGTCACTCTTATAGCAACAAATCAAGATCATAAGCAGCCAAGAAACAACCAAACAGACCCAAAACATTCTTACCCTTCCTCTATGTCTCCAAGTTTGATACACGATGTAATAAGCCGAGTATTATCTGTCGTTCTCGTATACACATATGTGGATCAACCCAAACAAAATAACCACATAGACCACCATCCTACAAGTACAAATTACAAATATTTGTTTACTCTATGCAAAAAATATTACATAAAAGACTTTTTCCAAATAAAAAAAATCAGATGAAATAGAACAACTATAATCCATAATGTGTGAAAAATATGTGAGAAAAAATGGTCTGAATGCACATCTTAGTTCATCAATTGCAAGAATATTGCTAAATTTCTAATGGGATGTGAAGTTATACCGCATAATTATGGCAAGCCCTAACCTCCTCCCAGGGATTAGGTCTGTCCATGAGATCTTCATTGCTATCCTTCGACTACAGTAGTAGACCACTTCCATTTTTTGCTCTATTTGTTATCTTTTTCTTCCTTGTTTTTCTTCCAGCTTTTCCTTCCTCTTCTTCCCTCACTCAACTGACTTTTTTTGACTAGTCTTATACAAAGATGAAGACGAAGGTAAGCCAACTTCGAGTTTGTGACAAAGGAATGTGTTTTTACAATTCAATCCCTGCAAGAATCACATGCAAGTCGTGTGCTGGATTTTCAGACGATAAATCGAATGGACGTTTGGGACTGATGCACATTGCATCGTTTTGGTGACTTTCAGGGTGCAACTTGAAAAATCTTATCTTTCAGGGTGTAAATTAAAAATTTGAGAATCTTTTAGGTTGCAAACTGCGATTAGCCCTTGAAAAATACCACCTTTTTTTTTTGGTGCGCAATTATTCACTTTAATTTAAAAGTTGTAAACTTCAAGTTTAAAAGTTAAAATCAAATTGGATTGTAATAGACTAATTTTGTATAACCAGATAAAATATAACACAAGAAAATTTTATCAACATCTCCTGTAATTAGATTTAAATATAATGAAACTCTCTCTCGATTCTGAAATTTCACTGTCACCCCCTGTTAGTGTTTGTCAGGTTATGACGTTAATGACAATTGTTAATTTATAAAAATACCTCTAATATTTTATAGGGTAAATTTTAACCACACCCCTTGTAAATAGATATAACTTCAAAGACACCTCCTATAAATAGACTTATCTTTAACAATACCCCCTCCCGATTTTGAAGTTTCAATGCACTTCTTTTTAGTTCTATTATATTAATATATAGGTTCATTAATTTAATATTTAATTTTATCAAATTAATCTCATT